TACAGCTATCCTTATCCTTCTCTTCCATGCGCATTAGGTGGAGACAAAGCCAGTTGACTGCTGGTCATTGTATTTCTAAAAAAAGTCAGTCTTAATCCCTCTCAATTCCCTCCTTAGGCGCAAGTTCAGGGAATTACAAAGTTGAAGTTGTAGTCTTTCATTTGGAGTCAAACTCAGTCCCTTCCCCTCTCAAACCGTAAGCCCACCGTAACACCCCGTATATATATCCGGTAATGTTATCATAATATCGTATTAAGCTGCGCTTAATTAAAATGCGGAATTACTTTTTCTTTTCAATTATGATGTCATTAACATTACCAACTTGCTTAATAATCAATTAATAAAACATCGCCTGTATGTAATTGCAATAAAACAGCTAACTGAAATACCTCATAACATAGATAATATAAGTGTGGCTATAGTCACGGAACTACAACAACGTAGACCGGACCATCTAACAGTTTATACAACTCCAAACTAAAAGTACTAACAGAAAGTGTCATGGACAATCCACATGCTCACTCAAATAAGGCAACATGCCTAACATCAGTCTCAACATATCATATCATAAATAGCGGAAAACATAAACAGCATCCAAATCCAGTCATGCTAACAAACAAGCAGAGACAACATAATCAGCTAAGCTCCGGCCTCCCGCCGCCTGAGGCATCAGTACCCATACTACCTGATCCTGAAATAAGCATTCTCCAAACGTGGGGTAAGATCTCTAATCTAGAAATCTCAGTAAGTCAGTGAGTCCTCAAGGATCTTCCACTCCAAGCTCACTTGCATGTGCAATATAAGTTCAAAAGCAGTTTATCATTTATCATTTCTAAAACGATGCACTGCAGCAGATAATCATGTCATGTGTGTCAATACTAATCTACTGGCCAGAGACAGTGCAGGTATACGTCTATCACCTACACACCGTGCAAGTACCACTTGCATTCACCCCGGTACACCCTCTTGTATGGCGCTACATACTCAGGCTTCCCGTCAAGATGAAACAACACATGCATATTAAAAGCCATTACATGTAAAGTTCATTCAACATATCAAATATCCAAAAGCATGTACACAACATGCATAAACCATACCCCCATGGGACATGGTGGAACCACAACATGGCTAAACCGAGGACACGAAAGCTTACCTTGCAGGCTAACTCCAAAAGCCAAGAGTCCACAACTCAAAGTCCAAACACAGCAGATTCACAATCTGTTATGGACCAATACTATATCAATAATAATGCAACACACGCATATAACTTAAAGGCAACACCTTTCCTTACGTTTTACGTCTTAAGGCTCCATACCAAGCCATAAGTCCTTAATCACTTAATTCTGACTTAGTTCATTAATTACAGAAGTTCAACTTCATCAATCTAGGGTCCACAAACCCCCAATAGCCTACTGTACACACAGCACAGTTACTGTTCTACGAAATCCCAGAATATCCGGATATCCAGAATCCCATATCCGGATACCTAGTATCCGGATACTCAAAACCCATATCCGGATATCACATATCCGGATATTCATCGGGCACATATCCGGATATTTCACGACAGAATGCAGAAAATGCATTTCGTGAAGATATCATTCCAAGGTTGGGTTTTTAACGATTTAAAGCACCTAAACATGCATTTCTAGGTGTGTAACATTACCCCACAACAAGTTATCATCTTTAAGCCTTAACATGCATCAAGCTTTCATTTTTAAGTTCAAAGACTCAAGACCAAAGGTGACAAGGCTTACCAAAGCTCAAAACAGAGGTTGGAGGTGCTCTTGGAGCTCACAATCAGCTCCCAAGGTGCTGACTTCAAGGGTGTACGAAAATACCACCCAAGCAAGGATCTTTCTTCACAAATGAAGCTCCTTGAAGCCTCACAAGCCAAGCACAACACTCCTCAACAAGAATGCCACCAAACCAGAAAAAACCTCAGCTCCCACAGCCACCACAACTCAGAAAAGGTGCTCCTTTCACACTCACAATGACCACTCACACAAGGCTCAAGTGTTTGGAGGTGAAGAAACCAAGCAAAATTGACACTTGATCTCCAAAATGGTGAAGAAAGCTCAATGGAACAGTAGCAACTGACCAGCCACTCCAGCATTCACGTAGCAACAGAAAACCTAGGGCTTTGTGCCCTTAACAAGGGTATTTATAGCCACTTACCCAATTAACACACAATATTAACTTTAATTGCTACGCTTAGCATTTTAATCCCAAACTTTGGATTATGAAACTGCATAATTTTCTAAGATTTATCATATTTTTCTTATAATTTTCTGAGCACTTTTCCGGTACGCGCTTTTGCAAGCCAGTACCGGTTTCCAGCACCAGTTCTCATTTTCTGGACTTGAAACTCGGTTTACAAGTCCTACATATTATTCTAGTAATTATCATGCACTTACATTAATTTTTCGGGATACTTTTTCGGCACGCATTTATACCGACTAGCAGAACCAGTATCTGCACTTTTCTTCCGAAGAGCGACTTTCAACATTCTTAATCACTTATTACGATTATTAAGCCTCATAAATAATTATTAGGGTCAATTATGAAATCATTTCCTATTTTCTCGTAATTTATTAATTAAATTCCTTAATTAACGGTGCAGGTTCTTACACCCACAAAGAAGAACATCAAGGAGGAATAGACTTGCATCTTTCCCTCAATTTTCCACAGACCGTGAGCATGTAAAAAGAAGATAAACCACTCCAATACACTTTTCCTTTTTATGAGTTCGGATGGGTACCAATAAGCCAAGAGGTGTAGCATCTTCTTTACTCCTCGGTTCATCTTCTCCGTCTCGGTAGGATGAGAATCTTTTCCGCATGTGGAGTACAAATAGAACTCATCTCCCTTTCTCTTCTTTGGTTCGGCCGAAACTTAACCAACAAGGAGATGAGGTGTTCCTTCTATTCCCCTATCTCATTGTTCATCTTCCTCTGTTCGGCTGGGTGAAGGTTTCTGTTTGCATGCAGCCTGGAACCAACACTTATTTCCACTCTTCCTTGCCTAACCAGACGAAGACACATACCCAAGGAGTCACAAGCTCGATTTCTTGGAGTGGTGCAGTGGGAGGCTGCTGCTTGAATTGTAGCGCTAACCTTGCTGTAGTCTTGGAGGTAAGGTTGAGTTTCAAGCGTTCCTTCTCTTCCCTGTTTGTTCAGTCTGCCTTATTACCAAGGAATATGAGTTTTTTTGTCGTTCTTTCCTCACTGGTTACTTGCAGCTGCTGCAGGAAATTAAGGGAGTCATGTGCATCATTTTATTCCCTGCTTCTGCTATTGGATTAGCTTAGAACTAGGGGTGTTCATCAACCGATCCAAACCAATTCAAACCGCAAAAACCGAACCGAAAAATCGATAACCGAATAAACCGAAAACCGAAAAATTGAAAACCGAAAAAAAACCGCAAATTTTAATTGGATTGGATCAGTTTTCGGATGGGTTGATGAAAACCGATCCAATCCAAACCGATCCAATATATTAATTATCCTCTACCTACTTGTCCTTTCTCCAATCATAGCTTAAAAATTTCTAAACTCAAGACCCATTAACTCATCAACTAAACCCAAGAAAAAACTTAGTCACGTCTCATCAATTATAGTATTGTTTATTGATATTTTTATATTTCAACTTTTTTTTTTTTTACAAAGCCAATATATACAAAAGATGTTATTTGTACAATAATCATGAAACTAATTTTAGGATATTCAAAAAACCGAAAACCGATCCAATCCAAACCGAAAAAAATTGGATTGGATCGGATCGGATTTGAAAAAAAATCTAAACCGAATGGATGATTACATGATCAAACCGAAGGGATTGGATCGGATGAGTTTTGCTTCTAAAACCGATCTAATCCAGACCGCGAACACCCCTACTTAGAACTGAATAATCACAAGTAGATGTGAGTCACTTGTCAAACCTTTATGGACAACATGTTGAGGGCATCATTGGCGCACCCTAGCCTTGAAGAAAAGAATAAATATAATTGAAAATATTAGGTCACTAGTTAATGACCTCAGGAACCGAATCTGAATGCAAATGAAACTTCAGATTTTCGCTGTTTAGAAGCGGATAATTTAATATGAAGTCAGAAAACTTAACTAGTAATGGAACCATGAAATCGGATGTGAACAAATGACTAGGAAAAATGGAAACACTATGTGATGTATAGGAAAAATACGACGTATAATTCTGATTTGGTATGTTCTTGCTTAGGTGCGCATAACTCATTGCGGCTGTTTGGAAATATTTGTGACAAGAGAGGTAACTGTCGGGTGGCATTACCTTCTGTGACTACTAGCTAGTCTATGGGATTATGAATTGTTGCTCTCATGATTTGGATCTGGATTCTGTATACGATATTCGTATTCTGTTCATGGATATAATATGCTAGATTTGTGGAGAATATTTGTTATACAGCATTCTGATATTTGAATCCATGAGATATATGTATCTTGATTATTATCTAGTCATGCATACACATTCATGATTTTTAACTGTATGTTCGTGTGTGATCCATGACATAGCATACATGCATGAGTTTCATGTTGACATCTGAAAATAATTATGAGAAGTATGCATACGTTTGAGCACGCATCATATAGGCATCCCTTCGGTACCAGGGTATGGGACACTTGGCTTCCGTCCGCATAGGTCACAGTTGGAATCCTTCTGTTGAAGCCACCCAGGAATATCCACTGTGTCTGTTAGTGATACATGCACCGTAGTGCTATGAACGTACACTTCTGGCGTTATATACGCAATATGATTAGTACTCTTGGCGTTATATATGCAATATTATCAGTACTTCTGGCGTTATATACGCAATATGGTTATGATTGGTATTTGACGGATTCGAACTAATGATGTGACTGTTTTGTAATTCTGTATTTAGTTAGTACAGTTGCATTACTGGTTTTGTTGCCACACTACTGAGATTTTTCTCACTCCTTTGGGGCTGCTATTTTTACAAAATGGCAGGAGGACGGGAGAGCATATGAAGACATGATTATATGGATATCTACTGTTATGTGTTGCTCTCTGGACTTTTGCTGTTTATTTGTTGGATGATTGTATTAAGCTGAATAGTTTGGATTATTGTTGGATTATGATTTTATTGCTGTTTTAAGACTTTTATGATCAGCAAATATTTTGGAAACAAATTCTATAAACGTTTTGCGAAAATAATTTTTGACGTTTTATTTAAGTTTTGGTTTTAAACAGTCTTGCGAGCACTTTGCGAATTATATTTAGTGGGGCTACAGACCTCCGATTGACTTATATTTTATATGCACGCGAAGCCCCACGTGCCTATTTTCAGATTATGTAAATGTTACAATGGAATTTGGAAAACTGGATTTTACACGAATTTTGCAAGACAGCAACGTCTACCAGGAAAATAATATTTTCAGCAACTTAAGAAATTTTGAAAGCGTACTCTGATTTGTGTAAGGAACTTGATTTCAAGTATAAGTTTTCATTAGCAACATCAAAATGATTTTTCAGTAATTAAAATATGTCGAAAGAACTCTAATTCCGCTTAGCAAACAAACTCTCTTGGATGCATACAAGGAAGGGTGTTACACTAGAGTTCTTTCAAGATCACATAGATTTAGGGTAACAAGGAATTGAGCCGAAATTAACTTAGATAGAATTGATTGGCATTATATTAAGAAAAGGTTCTTGACTGTTTAATTCATAACATAACGAGGATATTGGGGGAAGTCGAAACCCTAACTAAGCTTGTTTTAATTCTTTAATCAATCATCATCTTTTTCAATTGTCTTTTTTAATTCTGAATTTTCTTTAATTGAGTGCTATTACTTGTTTTTAATTTTAAATTCTTCAGTTACAAATTCTCTCAAATGCAATTCTTGATTGTCCAACTAAAACACAATTAGTGAAATAGTGCTTGAAAATTCGATTCTAGTGGGATTGATCTCGTACTCTGGTACACTTTATTACTTTACGACCGGTGCACTTGCCGAGTCGCAACAATAATCGATTACTTCTTTGACAGAATGTAGAAAACTGGATTTTTAAGGTATAATTGACCTCTGATGATCTCCTAAGCTTTTTTAATCATTTAATCAGTATTCCAACATATTGTAAACATATTAACAACCTCTACAACTTAGGTTATCCAAAATCCCTCATTTAACATACCCAAACATGTTATTTTCATGGGAATCCAAAGGAAAAGCTATGGGGTTTACCTTGAAGCTTCAAAACACTTAAAAGATGAGGCTTTCTAGGCTTTAACACTACTCTCCTTCTCTGGCTAGCAAGGTGCACGAAAATGACTCCTCCAATTGTTGCTCCTTTATCTCTTAGGGTGGGTTATTTCTCATCAAAATGTTCCCAAAGATAGAGAAATGCTTCCTCTTTACCCCAATACAGAAATGGCAGCCTTAAAGGTTACCCCAATACAGTGATGGTGGAGACGGAACGTCAGAGAATGTGGAGTCTAAGCTGCTTGGGGACGTCTCCTTGGCAGCTGGTTTAGATGCCGACTTCCTCCTAGTCTTCAGCCTTTTTGCCAAAGGTGCATTGTCATCACTGCCCTCCTCTTTATCAGAGAGGGTGATGGGTTTCTCAGATGATGCTCCCTCTGCCTTTTTGGTGCTGCTGAAGGCTCTCTTCAGCCTCTGACTCGAATGTTCCCCCTTTCTTGGGGGAGCTTTGGCAGGAGATTTCTTCTTGTCCTGTTTGCCATCAGTAGCAACAGGGGCATCCTTCTTTACCTTGGTAGGAGGAGGGATAGTTTTTCTTGCCGCAACGTGGGCAGAAGTGGGGGATTTTGAAGGAGTGGCCTTTGTGGTTTTCTTCTGTGGGACCACAGGAGCTTCCTCCTCATCATCAGTGGTGGTGGTGCATCTGAGGCTTTCTGGAATGGGTTGGGTGGTGTCAATGTAGGTGCTTTTAAGACCCTTCCAGGTCTTAGCATCGATGATAGATGCTACCTTTAATGTGTCATCCTCGTGGGCTTCCACTCCAGCTCTCAGGCAGAGCTTTGTGATGAGATAGGGGAGGCAAACTGTGGTCTTTCTCATCTCCCTTTTCAAGCTGTTATAGATGAGGGGTACTGCATCAAAAGGAGTGTTCTTGATGATGCAGTAAATTTGGACTTGCAGTGCCTAAGTAGCAGAGGCTTCATGGGTGGAGGGAGTGATGTTGGAATTGGCAAATAATGCCCAGAATCTGGCTATGTCCTTCATGCTCCCCTTGCAGAGGGACCCTTTGTAGTATATGGGTTTCCTGATGGCTACTGTATCCTTCAGGTCCCCCAGGAAGCTGGACACTTCCTTATTGTCAGTGTACTCCTGGTACGGATAGTGTGAAACAGTAGGAAGGTAGAGTACTTCCTGGATATCAGTGGGGGAAAATGACACTTGTTTTCCCCTCACCGTGACCACATCAGTGGTATCTTCTTGAGGCAGCCTCCTCGTCTGGTACAGGAACTCTCCCACTATGGAGACATTCATCTCTCGATCGTCAGTGGCAAAACGAAGCCACTTGAGGTTGATCAAGGTTTTCTTTACGAATGGTGGCAGAACCAGTTTGTCCTGCTTATGGATATGTTTCTTTCTGGGTACAAATGAATGATGGGTTCAGTGAGCTCTGGTTCTTGGCCACGGCTGGCCACAGGAGTCACCTTCACTGATAGCTTAGTCATCTTTAGCAGAAAGGAGGTTAGAGCACAATGCAGAGGGAGAAAAGGTTCTGAGTTAAATGGAAGTAGTAAGACTCCTAGAAAGGAAAGGTTGGGTTTAAATAGAAAATGAAGGAGGAAAACGAAGAGCTTTCTAGGACGTGGAGGTTGAGGAGAGGAGGTTGAAGAGGTAGTGGAATGGGGACGTTACAGCACGAGTGGTCAGACGTTAGTGGGCTGTAGCTGATGATGATGATGGTCAGGAGATGGAACAGTTTTAGGTTAGAACGTGGGTGAGAAGGAAGAGAAAAGGGTGCAGTTGTCTTAATGGTTGAGGGGACGGTTGCTTTTTCTAAGCACGTTTTCAAGATTTGCAATAAGTGCAAATTTGATATGGCTGCGTATCTTTTTGAATGACTCAGCTGGGACAGGTGTCCCAGTCACTCTTATCTTCTAACCTAGGGAACGTTCCCTTTGTCTTTTCCTAAATAAATAAATAAACAACTAAATAAAAAGAAAAAATAACATACAAAGGTGTTAACTGTAAATCTAATTTAACTAAAGGAAATGGGACGTACTAACCTATCACCTAACTAATTATTATTTACTAAAATAATAATTTTGCAAAATATATATATAAATAATTTTTTTTTAATTGGGATTGTGTGGTTAAGGACCACCCCAAAACTACGTTCCTGGAACGGAACGTATCTTATTTGGACTTTTTTGGAGTGGAACATCAGACGTTCCCTCCTTTTGGGAGCTTATGTGGTTGAAGATAACCACCACAAAACTTTGCTCTTTGTCAGAGAGTAAATGCATACACTGGGTTGCCTCCCAGTAAGCGCTTAGTTTAATGTCTTTAGCTAGACATGGTACTTACCTCTTAAGTGGATTCAGAAGTGGTTGAGGGAACTTCAGTGTCCCCTGGCAGTGATCCTGGTGTTCTTGTTTGAAGATTGGCAGCAATCAGTCCCAGATGGGACTCAATGTTCTGGACCACCGCATCGTTCCTGGTGACATATTCCTTGACATAGTTTTCCAGGCTATTGATGCGCTGGTCATCTCTGTGGAATGGAACATGGTTTTTTCTCTTTTGTTCAAACGTTCTGCTGCTGCTGCCTTGCTGATACTGCTGCTGAGTGTTGAATGGTCTTTGGTTCATGGGTGGCCTTCATTGGGGGTTATGGTTATGATCTTTGGATATAGTTCATCCAGGAACGGAATTGGTATTGCGTCCTGCTTGCTGATTGTCTCTGGTGAAGTTTCTGTTGCCAAAATTTTTTGCATAACACACCAATGCGGTGGATGGGCAGTCTGTTGAGTCATGAAGGTCACCACAGGCTGAGCATGGTTCTGTTTCAGTTGCTATGAGTTGTAAGACTTTCATCCTTGGTGCTTCTTGGTTAGCTTTCAGGTTCTTTACTTCATTCATGAGTGAGGCTAGCTGGGCTTCCATGGCAGTTTGTTTATCCAGTTCTAGCATGCCTGGCTTCCTCACTGGATTCACTCTGTCTATTGGCCATTGGAGACATCTTTTAGCAGTTCTTTCTATGATTTCATACCTGGATTCAAGTGTTCCTGTAAAAAAATATCCTCCTGCAGCAAAATCTAAATGAGATTGAGAAGTATGGTCAAGTCCCTTATAGAAGGATTGTAACACTCCCCAACTCTCTACCCCATGGTTTGGACATTTCCTGATGATGTCCTTGTATCTCTCCCATGCCTCATATAGATTCTCTCCATAAAACATTCTGAAGTTAAAGATTTCTGCTCTAACATTAGCTTGTCGAGACATAGGGAGAAACCTCTCTATGAATTTGTTAGAGAGCTCTTCCCATGTGTGGATTAATCCAGGGGTGAGAGTTTTCATCCATGTTTTTTCTTTTAAGCCCAAGGAGTGAGGGACTCACCTCATTCTCATGCTTTCTTTTGTCACACCCTTGGCTTTGAAATTATCACAAATATCCTGGAATGTGGCGAGGTGTGTGTAAGGATCTTCTGCAGGGAGTCCATTGAAAATCCCTGCTTCCCTAATCATGTGAAACATGATAGGTTTTAGTTCAAAATTGGGTGCTACAGGAAGGAGGATGACTCCCCTGTCTGGTCTGTTCCTGAAAGGAGCAGCCAAAGTTCTGAAATTTTGTTCAGGAGGAATATCTTCATTATTGTTATGATCAGCCATGTTTTCAAGAATTTCTTCCCTGAGATTCCTTCTTCTTCTAGGAAGAGTACGTTCTGTTCAGGATCAAAGGGAAACTCAGGTACTTCACTGGAGTGGTTAGAGTCTGTTTCTGACTCTTCACTCATAAACCATAAACACAAATTATATATACAGCAGATTTAGTGAAAATAAAATAAAAGTAAAGTCAAATATACAGGGTATGTACTAAAAACAATAACTAAGAACAAAATTTAGTGTTACTATCCCCGGCAACGGCGCCAAAAACTTGTTGGGTGGTTTGCTGATGGTGGAAAAAGATAAGTTCTAATGGGGGACGTTCCTCTGTTCTAAACAGAACAC